AGGTGTGGGGTGGAAATGGAGATTTTACAGTATCATTCCCCTGCCATGCCCACCAAACCACATCCACCAAGCCATGCCCATCACTGGTAATGACCATAATTAAGCAATATGGGTAATTTTCACTAAAATAGATGCTAGAGAAAAAGCAGTACACTATACAGACATCAGAGAGGAAACATCAACGTGGCAGCGTTAGTGGCATGTAAACATGGCCGAGCGGGCATGGTGATGGAGCAGTATCCTCTATAGGTTTATCAGGATATCAACAATGGAACCGGGCACGCACCTCAGATGACCTCATTCACGATGCGTTTGTAAACGGGTATCCCTTCCAAACTACTAAATACTGTAAAGTGCCATGGCGATGACGGGAATCAGAGCTGCCATCCAGGGGGAACCTATGCATCACCATGCCTGCTCTGATGTCGATTGAGCCAGTAGCTGCATGTGGCTCTTCTACTCGGGTGCAACTGCTACTCTAACTCTTGCTCGGATGTGGCTAACCAGGAAAGAGGCTATGATGACACTGAGTGGGAGGGTGGCTGAGGTTGTGGGTCATGGTGATTGGTGATGGTGGGTGGGTGTCATCCAATATATATGGGTGATGGTGTTAACTTGGTTAGAACTGACTTGGATTTGTTTACCTTTGTATCATTGTCATTTAGTGCTGGTTATTACGTAGTTTCTTAGATAGAAATAAAAGTTTTTCACCAAACAAACTGAATCTCTGTTTGTGTGCAATGTGAACACCGGAATGTGACAGATGGCTTATATTAATAACAGGGTACTACATAATTTTATTTTGGGCTTGCAAGGATGTACTTTGATTGCTTAGGAGCCACAAAAAGAAATTGATACCATTAGTTTTAAATCATTGCAATAGGCTGAATTTTTTGGGTGGGGGAAAGAGTTAAAGTATAAAATTGGTATCCTCGCAGGAGTTTAACACACCCATTCAGTCACTTAAACCTCTCTCAAAATGAGAGAGAATTGCCAAGAGTCTTAATTTACCTCAAACCCATTAAGTAAAAATCAAAATAAAAGGATTATTGGAACTCTAGGAATGTAAATAGGTCTTTGATTATTACAGTAATGAAATCAGTAATAAAATATACATCTTTTAATGAATTGATATTTCTGAATTAATGTTTTAGGAATAAGTCACATTATACCCTCTGCTTTCCTAATATAACATGGTACTATTAAGAAAAAAGAAATGTCAAAGCTTTTCATACTTTAATGAGACTAATAATATAAAATTTTGAATATGCATTAAGAATATATTTTCCATCTCTGGAAATTGCATGATCAACTAATGTAATAGATTGTGATCTATTGATGGCAACTAATGTAATAGATTGTAGAGATTTTACAATTATAGTAAAAACTAAGACTTCTCTAAATGAATATAAGCTATCTTGCTTTGCTGAATGTAATGTATTTAATATATTTATATTTATATATCATGATTTAGTTGAATGGCAATAATATTAAAATATTACTTTTAATAATAATATTAAAGTTCTCTTAGGACAAGGGTCAGCAACCTTAAAGAGCCACAAAAATCCTAACCAGAAGCCACCCACTCAATTCTGGAGCCGACCAGAAGTCTAGTTCCCCCACCATAGAGTCTTCTCCTAGCGCGTTATCCTTCCTCCTCTACCTGTCCTATCTGAAAGCCCTATCAATTGTAGAGCTGTAGACCAGAAAACCTGCCCCTTGCCATAGAGTGTCTTTCTGGTGCACTGTGCTTCCCCGTTCCCAAATGGAAGCTCCTCTCAAAATTGTGGCACTGACCGGCAACTGGGAGCCACAGCAGAGAGATGAAAGAGCCACATGTGGCTCCAGAGCTGCAGGTTGCCAACCCCTGTCTTAGGACAAATGGTCAGTATTATTAACTCCTGTTATAATACTGTCAGAGGTATCTCTACTGGCGTCCTCTATCAAGCTCTCTGTTCCTTTGATTCTAAACCCAACAATTACATAGGAAATTAATGTGCTGAAAAGCAAAAGTCACCTTTTAGCATACTTTTTACTTACAATAAGGTCTCTAAATGGTGAATGGGTACTAATCAGTTCTTTGTAAAACATTTCTATATGCAAGGATACA